ACAGAACCGCTGCTTTAGAACATTGATTTTGAAACTTGTGAATCCATTAGAATCGTTAGAAGACAGAATCGCGATTCATATATGAATAGATTTTTATGTGCACCTCTAGTTTTCTCTTCCTCTTCTCTAAAGCAGCGCAGCATGGCCTCACCCCCTTTGCTGCCTTTTCCCGAGGGCGGGGTTTATCAGGGTTTGTGATGTCACGAACCCGGGAAGTAACTTGTTGTAGTCCCTACCAGCCGTTTTTGTAGGCATTAAACTGCCAGAATTTTAAAAGACGATATCTCCATTTGCATTGAGCTTTCAGCTTCGTAACTTTGCAGATATCGTTTATGCTCAAACAGCAACATTACACACTAACTAACATTAAAAAAGTGAAATCGCAATCAACCACCCATTTAAAAACTGTTTTCAGGGGTGAGTGAATTTTGACCAAATAAAACACCTCTAATTGGCCAGATAAGTCTGTGATTGGCTATATTGTGAGTTTAATGCAGAAAATTGCTGATGCATATTAAAATAATTAAAGGGATAGTTCACCCAAAAATGAAGATTTGCTGTTATATTTGCTGGCCTTCGATGCCCGGGAGGTGATATGGTCGGTTCACTTAGTTTTGTCATGGCCAAGACATAACTCGTGGGAACGTGGCCACGAGATATTAATTTGAGGGAATGTCATATTTACTCGTGGGAACGTGATATTATGTTGTGGTCACAAGATAATTTTGTCGAGGTAACGGCATCCTTATGTTGTGGCCTCGAGATGCTATGTTGAGGGAACAACATATTTTTCTCGTGGCCACGAGTTTAATGCGTAAACAAACCTGTGTGACCATAGCAACATGGGATTATCAGAGATGGATTCATTTAATATTTTATTTTGAATTAAGAAATTATTACATTATTAAATCATTATATTAACCATAGGCCTTGTCTACCGGGCTGTATTACGTGCAATAGTCAGCATTCAAATGAAGTTTATCATGAATAAATGTTACATAAAGTGCATAATATAAAATAGGTTATATTTTTATATTCGTTTATATTACTTTTTTTCCCTTCATTTCAATCTCTTTACTTAACGTTCTGAATACTTTTGTATATAATAGCCTACTGTACATGCTAATAAAGCTTTGATTATGCTGACTGGAATTTTTGCTGGAATGCTGTTTAATGTAACATTTCATTTTATTTCTGCTAATTAATAGACCATAATTATAAATACTATAGTGTTTCGTTGAGGAATTAATCATTCATAAATGCTTTTTAATTGACGATGAAGCCATTTGAAGTCATGAAACTTGCAGGATGTATTAAGCATACAAACACCTGTTGTGTATCAAAAGATCAAGAGAAATTTGGTTTCTCATATGATCACTTAAAAGAAGCTTTTTAACTTGTGGCTCCTCACAATATATTGAGGTCTTATGCAGCAAAACGATCGGTCTGTGCAAGAGACATTATTTACAACATTATAAACAGCCACGTTTTGCATCATTATTGGGTGCTTTAGTAATATAATTGCGTATATATGTAGTCATTGCTTGATTACATATACTGGGGAATCGGTTATTTGAACCAGTTCATCGACACAAATTGTCTGAAAGAACCAGTTTGCGAAAAAGAAGTGGACTTCCCCGTTTTCTTGAGGCTCTGGATTACAGATAATGTTGTAAATTATGTTCAGTTTATTGTACAGACTGATCATTTCACTTTATAAGAACTCAATATATCATCAGGAGCCACGGGTATTAATTTGCCTGTATATGCTTTTTGACTCTCAAAGTGATGGCAGCCATAGACTTGCATTTTATGAATCACCAAGGACTACGGTTTCAGCTAAATACCTCCTTTACTCTATATTACTAAAGAAAAAAAGGTCACTTACATCTTGCATGTCCTGAGGATGAGTTCATTTTTGAATAACCCATCCTTTTAATAGTGCTTTTTTTTTTTTTATTCTGTTAAGGAATATGTAGGACAAAATTATGACTAGTACAGATCAGTGTCATATGGTGTGCCATTGATGATTTTCAACGACGAAACTCTGCATGGCACAAGCTGGCATCTAATCACCCAGCCAATGACACGACATGCATCCTATGCCTCTTGTCCTGGTTGTGTGGATGAACTTACATATTGTTTTGATTTTCAGCTTAAACATGCTGAAGTGGTGGAAGAGGCAGATGGACACCCAGACGGCTGAGTGAAAGAAGACAAAGACATTGTACTTTTGAGCCATTGTTTTTTATTTGTTTTCATTCCAGTTAGTTTCCATATTCTTTCTGTTCAATTGTTACAAGAGTGAGTGAGTGTATGTGAGGCAGATTTTGTGGACAAAATTGTGTAGCCATTGTGATGGTTTGGATGTTTAACAGTAAGTAGAACGAACATGTATATCAGCTGAAGGATAACATTCTAAGCTCTTGAAATAAACTCATGTTTGTTTACTGTCACCTGTATGCATAGTATGAAAGCTTCTCCATTTCTACCTTGATAAGAGCAGGTTACCATTAGTTATGCAAGCCACTTCAGTGTTCATGACCGGTAATGAAATACACTGTGTGTGAGAGTGCAGGTCTACTTTGACATAACACTGAAATCTAAAATGCTTAAACCTCACAGTATTCAATTATTTGTAAAGAAATTGGCCCCAAAACTATATGAATGAGTGTACAAATATCCGTTAGTTCAGCAGACATTACAAATGTATCTTACCACAAACCAATACACTATACCTTGCAGCTTGTGTCTGTGAAGGTCAGAATTAAATAAACGTCCAATGATTTGTACAAGTAGAGGCACATTTGTGAATACAGTGGTTCACGTTTGTGTAAATATATCAACCAATATTCCAATTTGAACACAAAATGGTCTGGTGAAGAGTTTACCTTCTAAAAACACAAACAACTACCAGTGAATAGTAAGATATATTTGCAACAATTATCGAAATGATAGACATCTGTGCACACAATTAAATATTGAGACTAATATCTAGTCCTCTCTTTACAATAGTCAAACAATGCTGAATAAAAAACAAACAAATGTATCTACATTCCAATACATTTAAACTAAGACATTTAGTAAATAGCAAAAAAAAAATGTAATGGTTAATTTAATTTTTCTAATAAATAAATGGATTTAAAATCAAACCACAAAAATAAAGACAAGAAACACAGAACTAAACAGCCAAATATTTCATTCATGACAATTGGGAAAGTATTTTGATTGTCAAAGGTACAGATACAAACGTGAAACTTCACAATAAATAAATATAATAATCTGCAATACAGTCTAGCCTTTTGATACTATATTCAATTTAAATTGTTTTGTTTTTTTTTTGCACATTTTGGCCTTGATCTGGAGCTTGCCTGACAATAACAGCCAGCACTGGTGCATTGTGGGTGAAGGGACAACACTAATGTGTGTAATTGAAAGACTGGTGTAAGCAGCATCAGTCCACGGTTTATATATATACATACACACACATACACATTCCTCCTACAACTGGAGCTCTAGATTTGGCTTTTGGCTCCAGTACAGATTTTAAATATCAAACTTTATGGTGTTTAGGGAGTGCTCTGATGTCCATTGTGTCGAGGAGAGTCAAGCCGCATGATTTGCCGTGGGGTGCCGTACCCTACCATGCCAGATTGAGATGCTCCACGATTGCTTCCCATTTGCATGCCGATAAGACTGCGACCTTGACGCAGCTGCTCCTCAGAAAACTCCCTCTTGTGGACCTTGGCTTTCCTAAAACATAATAAAAACATTAACATGCAGGAAGTGTGTGCTTAGAGGTTGCATGAAATGGAGCAGCTGTATTTGATTTAGTCCCGTAGATCCAGACTTCTGACTGTTGGCATAAAGTCTGGTCCAAGTTGCAGACAACAGCAAAGAAATTTGGGTTGATTTTCTCTGGTCTTTCGTTTGAAAAATAACAAAGATTGTTTTACCACTGATAACATGACAGAATGTATTTCAAAGATCCAAAGCCACTAATTCTCTATATACATCCGTACCCACTGTACATGCTCATTGGCCTTTTGTAATGTTGCGATTGTGACACTTGCACAACAAGACCAGTGAGACACTCTACTATCTTGTGCTCTATGCGAACACATGCCAGTCCACATAAAGTACAGAAGTTGTGTTGAATTGAATTTCAAGTATAAATTAAAACTGTGCTTTTTTTATTTTCCGCCACTGATTTTGGTCTTTAAGTTAGTTTAAGCCAATGCAGTGCCACTGGTTGTCTTTGCAGTCTAAATAAATCTGATGATCAAGACATGAAAATGGTATATGCTTATACCACAAATTGAAGTAAAATAGCATGATGGCAAATTTTGTTAGATGCTTAGTGCTTACATGAGAATGCAACAATAGGGAGGTGTGTGCTATCAAGAAGACAATTTCATGGCAAGACAGTGTCCTAATACGTTTGCGCTGTCTTTTTACATATTCAAAAATGTGTTCTTTCCCATCATCAGCAAAGTTAACGCTTTTAGCGCACGGTAATTGAGATGCAGCATATTAATTGACAATATGGTACAAAATGCCCTGAATACTTGAATAATATTAGGCCACTTAAGTATATTTGACAAGAAAATACTATTTTGGCTTTTCTACTTCAATTTTTTTTTTTCTGTGAATTGCTGAAAATTGTTTCTAAACCTAATTTTTCCCACATGCACACATCCACAATGCCTTTTCGTTGTACGGCGTCACAATCATCATGTCACATGATTATTTTATTATTCCGCAATGTGATTATCATTCCAGATTATGATTCCAGCTCTCAGATGTGTAAGATACAGGAAAAGGTTCCCCATGTTAAAAATTAGTTTTTTTTATTTTAAATGACCTCTTAAACACCTCCCTTCCTCCCTCATATTCAGCACCTACTGTTCCACTCATGAGCCATTTCTGGAAGCTTTTTTTACAGTTAACTGTCAGTCAAAACGAAATAGTTTAAAATAAGTTGCTGTGATTGACATGTCGTGTCATCTGTGGAAGGCTGTAAGTGCCACTTAAAAAATGAAACCAACAAAAAATAAAAATGTAAATAAATAAATGTTCAAATAGCCTATAAGAAACATAGATTTATTTAGTTTGTTTGATTTGTAATAATAGTAATAATAAAATGAATTGAACAATAATTTTAAAGAAACTTTGTATTAAGCCTTTTTTCACAAAGCATTTGCTAAACACTTTTCTTTATCGGATACATATTTAATAATTAATACATTGATGATTCCTTCATTTTATTTTTAAGTGCTCTTCTAGTCTGTATAAGCATTTTATACTATGCTGAAAAGCATTGCTGCAAGCAATCTCTGAGAGAACTCGGCAGCTAAAATTTGGCTGCTGCTCTGCTCACAACCCTGCAGATCAGCAAAGCTGCCTCAGCCATCGCCACTGACTTAATCAGTCAATCGGTTTTGTCCATATCAATCACTGTTTGCCTGTGTGTGCATCCAGCTGTGCTCTTACATCCCTCAGCATGTCCATGTAGAGCCTATTGGTCTCACTATGGAGAGAAAGAAGACATTTAATTCCTTTGAATTGCTCTCAGTATCATAATTTAAACTATTTAGGATACTCACTCAGCCAGAGAACGGTCAAACACCAGGTTTCCCATGTCCATGTAATACTGTGCATTTGTTCTCAAATCAGTCCAGTATTCATTTGCCTGCCACATAGACAACATAGTGCTGCGCAGCGATACTAATTACTTACTTAGCCTAATGTCATTAGCAACAGATTAATTTATTCATTCTTTTATGTGTTGCACTACATTTTAATTAGTTTTCCATTCATTTCACTATAGGCTATTAAAAATGTAAGACTGATTATGTCTTGAAGGAATAATTCACGCAAAAATTTAAATGTACTCACCCTCAAGACATCCAAGATGCAGATGAGTTTGTTACTTCATGGGAAGAGTTTTGGAGAAATTTAGCATCACATCACTTGCTCACCAAAGGATCCTCTGCAGTGAATGGGTGCCGTCAGAATGAGAGTCCAAACAGCTGATAAAAACATCACACAAGTAATCCACACAACTCCAGTCCACCAATTAATGTCTTGTAACACGAAACGCTGTTTGTGAGAAATAAATGCATTATTAAGACATTTTACAAACCAATCAAATTGGCTAAAATACAAGTCCTTCATGCATAACATTGCTTTCGCCATCGAAAAAGTTGTCTTATCTGAATTAGGAGAGACATTTGCACAGATAAAGCACTGCTTACAAGCTAAACCAATCCAAAAACTGTTCTATACAAACATGTGGATTTTGATGTAAGAGAACAATAGGGGATGGATTTTTTTCAATGGAGGAATTCATTATGGATTATGGACTCATATTTTGTCCAGAAGGGATGGTTTAGAGATAAAACGCATGAACAATGGATGTTTCTCCTACAAACACATAGCTTTTTAACTTCACAAGATGTTAACTGATGGACTGGAGCCGTGAGGATTACTTGTGGATTTTTGTTCTGTTTTTATCAGCTGTTTGTACTCTCATTCTGACGGCACCCATTCACATTGCTGAGCAAGTGAGGTAAAGCTACATTTCTCCAAATGAACAAACAAACACATCTACATCACACAAACATCCAGGATTAGTCTAAATCCAGAAAATGATATTTCATGCTTAGAACCTCTAAAGAGAACAAATAGAACCTTTTTACCAGGCTACAGAAAAACCTTAATTAATGCAAATAGTGCTATAGCTTTTAGAGATTTCAAATATGATTTTAGGTCCATTTCACTCATACATTTCACTCATCACATCATACAGTCACTATAATCAGCTGATCAATGCAAGTAGCCTTTACCAAACACATTCAGTCTGAGGCTAGTGTTGCTAGTGTTCACCTGCTCCTGTAAGGTGTAACCCCATTGGTTCTGGGCATAATTGGGGTCCCAGTAGCCAGACTGCCTCTTTAGACGTAAAAATTTCTTGGCCTGCTCCCCCTTCACAAATGGAGCGGCGAACGCACCTATGAGAAAACTTGATTATTAATTCGTTAACAAAATGAGTCAAATGCAATTCTCATTTACATGCACACAATGATGAGTTCTTTCAAAAGTTCTTTGCTGTATTCAGGCAACATTTACTCACCACTTATGAGAGTCATCAGAATCACTATATGCCTCAAGCTTTTCATTTTTGCACAAGCAAGGCCTCTGTGGTCTCTACATAAATAAAATCCATATACATTATCAATACACATTTTAAAATGGTGATCTACTCTGTATGTAGGGTTTCTGCAGGATTTTTAAGCTCAAATTTAAGACTTTTAAAGACTTTTTTTAAGACCTGCACAAATAAAATTAATACCATATGAGCAGGGTAGGGCAATGTCTATAGTACCATATTAAACTGTAAAATGATTACTGTAAAAAACTATTTAAAGTTCAGATACAAGTTTTCACAAAAACAAAGTTTTATAAAATGATAAACTTTACATTTCAGCCTTTAAACCATTGTTAAGAAAATGGATGGGTAAAAAGTATTATTATATTAATTTTTAACAATTATTATCAATAAAATAAATTATTATATCAATTAAATAACATAAATTAGGGGTGTGCGATACTGACAAAAAATTATATCTCAATATTTTTCTGGGATTTTATCGATAACGATAATTAGATGATATTTTGCTGAGTGTGTTATTGTGCTAATATCTTAAGGACTACCGTGGGCAGCTGACTCCTGAATTTTTGGATATTCTTCCTATTCTGTGTGGTCAGTTCACAGCAGTAAGATAAATTAATAATTTCCAACAAGTTTATGGCATGTTTACCTTTAAGCCATTTTTTCTAAAATTGTGCACCATCTTTTGAGTCAAATTCTTGCATTTGGGTTATTACCAAGCAAATTAAATCAGTATCAACAAAATGTATCTTTGCAATGCAGAGGAATCACAGAAGCTGCATTAGAAGTGGCATTTAGATGCATTTACACACAATGAGGGACATTAAATAATTTAACCTGCAGTTACAAATGCATAAATGATGTTTTGATATTTTAAACATAAAACATTGAAAACTGATGTTTGAAATTATTTAAAAAATGAAAAGGTACCATAAATGTGAAATTAAAACCGGCAGTAGGTGGCAGCAAGTCACTGTTAATAAGTGAGTTATTGCGATTTAACCAAATCATTTACACGGTTAATTCATTCAGGAACAAAACAGAGTCCTGTTGCCGCAAAACAGAAAATATGGTGTCTAAAACGTAAGTATCTTAAAATTAACTACTTGTTTAAATCAATATTACTGTAGGGGTTTTATAGCTCAAAAAGGGAAATATTTATGACTAACTATAACTGGTTATGATCAATAATAAATATTTAGATTATATCTTCGAATTAACTGTAGCAGAATCAATATTACAATTATTTGATCTGTCCGTCCACCGAGCAGACAATATAATCATTTATTAATTCAAGGAACTATTATTTTCCTGGCCAAGGAAGAATAAACGGTCCTTCTTTGTGCAGTGCTAGCAGTAATTTAGCAAAATGTAGCAAGGGTTCACACATTCATTGACTTCGAATTGTGAGCAACAAACAGAGACAATCAGTTGTGAATATAAGGGATTTAATAAATGAAACTATATCTAACATCTAACTAAGCAAAACACTTCCATATACACAGAATGAAACAAAGTAAGGAAAAGAGAGAGAATAGAAAAAGAATGGCAGTATTTCACATCACTTAACCACAACCTTTGAAAATCATCAAAGAATCCAAAAATCACCTTAAAAAGGGGCTGAAACTTAAACACGCTTCCTTTGTTTCCCTTTATGGCACATTTGCATGTTTTATGGCCGGTCTGGAATTTCTGTAGTTTTAACCCAAAATATAGTCAAAATCGTATGATGCGTTTCACAATCACATACTGTACATCATTGTTTGAGGAATAAAGGGCAGATAATATTGATACCAAGAAAGAAACATTTAGAATATATTGAACCAGAGATACATCCATACACCTGAATATCAGTGTTTAGGCTTTAACTAATACAAATAACGAGTGGTAACTCAGCTAATCTAACAGGGACACGTACAAACATCACATGCAATATACCAGATATATTTGTAGAGTATAATAGAGTAACGGTCTTTATGTGTGTGTGTGTTTGTGTGTGTGTTAGTTTGCTTGGTCGGCCAGGCCCATCGTGGCCCGGCATCGGGGGTCATTTACGTCTCTTTGGAATGTGTTTGAAACTCCAAATGAGACGAGGGTGGTGAAACTGGTTAGCATCTCCCTGATGGGGGTGTAATCATGCTTACTTTGAGGGGAAAAAAACTCTTCGTGTGATATTAACAATATGAAATTATATAAATATATAAATTTTCTGCCCCATATCTTAAATTATGTGATAATTCTAGACTGATTCATGCAGTGAAAGAATGCACTCTAAATGCGCACGCGCACTAGTCTAACCTACTAGACTGCATCACCTAATGTATGCGTGCACTCTGTAGTTGTGTTTTGTGTGTTTGCTTTTCGCAATATACTCATAATCTTTAAAACAACAATTACGATATTATCGCATACCATAAATATCGCACACCCCTGTGTTTAGATTTTTATAATGCATTGTCTTCTTATTGATCCACCAGTTCACATTTAAAGCTCTGCTTGTTTGCAGGGTAAAAACATGGGTCAATTTTTGCATTGCTCTGAACTCTGAACAAAACAACAGTTTTATTGAAAATGCTCATTCATTCTCTGCCAGCAGGTAGAGCCTTTGGTAGAAATAGAACTGTTTTCCCGGTAACGGCAGAACACAAAGCAGCGAAGCACCGGACTCTGAAAGTGCAGCGCTCGTGTTTATTCAATGAAATCATAGCCTTTTGAAGTTTAATCGTCACATTCAGCCATATCGCAATTCTGGTCTTTCCGTCCCCAAATTTAAGACCTCTTGAAATCATAATTAAGACTTTCTTGTACAATTTAAGACTTTTTAAGACCTTATATTTGATACAACTAAATTTAAAGGGGTCATATGATGCGATTTTAAGTTTTCCTTTCTCTTTGAAGTGTTACAAGCTCTTGGTGCATAAAGAAGATCTGTAAAGTTGCAAAGACTAAAGTCTCAAATCCAAAGAGATATTCTTTATAAAAGTAAATTTTTTATAAAGAGTCAACCACACCTACCTAAAACGGCTCGTTCTAACACGCCCCCACATATCTATGTCACTATGTGGCAATATTAGCATAATGCCGCCCAAATGGGCACGCAAAGAAAGAAGGCGTGGTTTCAGGAACAGCAGTAGTGTTGATGCAGCCATGTCAGGGAGACGCTGTGTGTTTCAGTGCGAAAGCAAAAGCACTTTATTTGGCCTTCCGGAAGTAGATGCAATTAGGAATCATTAGATTAGTTTAAGTTAAGATTTATTTACAACAGAACAGCACAACCCAGATGTTCAAATTTGTGCGACGCATTTTATGGACGACAGTTTTTTGAACCTTGAAGAGTACAAGGCTGGCTGTACACAAAGGGTATTTAAAAAAAAAAAAAAAAAAAGGGGTCAATTCCGACTTTGCTATGACAATCTGGCGCTTCTGAATCAGCGACTGGTAAGTATGTTTTGTTATTAGTTTAAGTATTTGCTATTGACTGTTCAAATGCGGAGTTTTGCGCAGCGCAGAGTAATGCGTCGTGTGTGTGTGTGTGAGGGGAACAGGGTCACATCACAGGAGAGTGAACTGCCTGTCAGAAATCATAGCACGTCAGCTGTCTTAACCACGGCTTGTGTACTGCATCATCACTGTGTCTGTCACGCAACTCTATTCCCCTTTCGGGGTTGAACTGATGGTAAAACTAACGACATTATTAACTTGATATTTACTTTGAAAGCTGAAGCTGCGATTATGGTAAGGGGAGTTACATTTCCGACGCGTGCTTGTGGTGTTCGGCCAATCACAATGCACTGGGTCAGCTGGCCAATCAGAGCAGACTGCGCTTGTCAAAGAAGGGGGCTTTGTTGAAAACGACACGTTTGAGAGAGGCGGGGGATACAGGACCTACAATAATGTACAGTATTTGAAAAATAATGTGTTTTTTGAACATTAAAGCATGCCAAAATATTCTGTTACACCAAATACACAAAACAATGATCTTTAAAATAGCATCATATGACCCCTTTAAGACTTTTTAAGACCCCGCGGAAACCCTGTGTATGAAAAAGCACTGTCTAACTGAAATCATAAGCATATTATTATTAGTCATATCACTAAAGTTCAAACAAATGTAAACATCAAAATATGCACATGTAAAATTATTTTGGAGCCGACTCCCAAGAACATACTTAAGTAACCAACATTACACTGACCACAACTATTGCAAATCACAAGTTCATGCAAAAAATAAAAAGGCACACATAAACGAAAATGGTAAAAAAAAAAAGAAAAAAAAGACTAGATTCATTATGTGCTGACAGCAATAAAGTCACAATCTGCATAAAAGCAACCTGAATTGACCTATGCTATAATTTTCTCCAAAAGATTTGCTGAGACTGTACTTTTGAAGTATTGCAGTGTTCAGAGTTTTACCTGTGCTGTAGGAGGCTGAAGTCTGCGAATGATCACCAGAGGCAGGGAGTAGAATTTGGAGCTGTGGTGCGAGAGCGAATAGAGCACTCTTTCAGAACAGATCTGAATACACAACTCTGTGTGGGAAATGTGACCACGGATATTAACTATTTAACCAGAACAGCATCAACATTCACATTTCTTAAAGTAAATATATCAGTTTAGCACAAATATACACTACAGGCCAAAGGTTTGGAACAATTTAAGGTTTTTAAAATGTTCTTAAAATGGTAATATTGTAAAATATTGTTACAATTTAAAATAACTTTATAATAACTTAAATGTAATTTATTCCTGTGATGGAAGTAATTTATTTGGAA